AGTGACAAATCACGTATGTATTAGAGTTTATTATAAATTGAGTAGACTTATTACAGAGTAGTCATGGATGTAAGTTTTGAAATACAAATGGAGAAATTATGGACATGTTTAAAGTGTGTTAAAAATGATAAAAGACGTATTATATATGTATAATATGGAGTGTCATAGTTATATATATGTATAGGGTTATATTAATTGGAATAAAAGATTTTGCTTACTGGGCTGTATGTCCATCCCACGTTTTTAAAATCATTTCAAGTATTGACAGTGAACCACAACTATGAGTCGGTATGGGAGTTGAGTGCGAGCTGGAGCAACTCTTTGATTGTGGCCATGGAGCTTTTATTTGTAGGCTGAATGTCATTTGTGTATTAAGAGTTACACCCTTTCTTGTTTTGTTCATGTAAGCCTAATGATATTTTAATTTCAGTTGTATAGTTAGTGCTTTTGAATTTTTTATTGTATGAATTCCATATTGTATTTGAAACCCTTATATATTGAATGATTAACTTGCATATAAATGAGACAGACCCTTTTTACTATGTTAATTATCACCTCTTATCGTTATTCAAGTTTATTTAATGGTGGGTTGGACCATATATTTCGGAGGCGTGACACAAACACTATCTAAGTTTATTTTTATATTTTTTTTCCTATTCCATCGGGGTCAATTTATAAAATCTTTTATGTTTCTTAATTGTAATGGTGTCATTTTGTAAAATCCCAAAAGATTTATATAACAGTTTACATATACTCTGAAAGTAGAAAATTTCGGTTTTCTACTTTCTACTTTGTCCTCATAGATAATATCCCTTTATCTTCCATAATATATTGCAATGTAAACTTTCTATTTCATATTTATGACAACATTACCCTCATCAAAACTTGGTGAGGAAAGGGTAACATATATACGATAACTTTAATTAATCAATTATGTTATCAACACAAAAATTAAACACCAATAAATTTTAAAATGTAATCATGTAAACGATTTAGCCCTTCATTTTTTTCCTTATAAACCCAATGGTTCCATTAAAGTAGAAATTACATAAAAAGGTAGTCACTTACACGTTTGGATTAAATTTTTGTGGAATAAAAGTGAGTTTCAAATGTGAAATTACATATTTGGACAATCTACACTATAAATGTTTTGGATTTTTCCTCCTTCTGGAACAAATCCTACATTATAAATAAGAACGTAACACTTCAATATAACAGTCCAATAACGTAGCACTCTAATGTAACACATTAAAAAAACTCCTTAGTGTACTTTTACCAAACATAACAACGTAACACTCTAAACTTTTTCCAAATGTAACACTCCAATATAACACAAAAAAAATTCTTTAGTGTACTTTTTCCAAACCTAATACTCCAATCAATGTAATCTCAAGCGTAACACTCCAATATAACGCACATAAAAACACTAAAAACCTACTTAGTGTACTTTTTTCAAATGTAACATTCACAGTTTGAAATTATATATTTATCCAAAACTTTCTAAAAATTTTTGTACTTCTTTTGAAATGATTTGAAAAATCTCACCCTTTTGGACTCCTTTTTTTGGAGTGTTATATCGGAATATTATGTTTGGAAAAAGTATACGGAGAAATTTTTTTGTGTTATATTGAAGTGTTACATTAAGGAGTTATTTGGAAGTGTTATATTAAAGTGTTACGATTGAAAAAAGTATAATAAAAAGTTTTTTTAGTGTTACATTAAAATGTTGCTAAGGATTTTTTGTACTTTTTTTTTTTGAAGTGTTATATTGGAATATTACGTTTGGAAAAAAATATACTAAGAAATAATTTTATTTGTTATATTGGAGTGTTACACTAAAACAAATTTTTAAAGTGTTACATTTAGAAAAAGTATAATGAGAAGTTTTTTTTAATGTTACAATGGAGTGTTACGTTTAAGTGTTACATTGGAATGTTACAGATTAAAATTATACATTTGTTCAAAGGTTACTAAGCAGGTTTTGTACTCCTTTTGAAAAAAAAATCTCACATCCTTTTGGAATATTTGAAAAATCTTACATTTTAAGTCATTGCCAATAAAAAAACATATAAAAATTCATCATAAATTTGATTCTTATAGGTTGTGTATATTATCTTTCTAACACAAAAAAATAAATAAATAAATAAAATAAAATAAAAAATAGGAGTATAACCATAAATAAAAATTTTAAATTATATATTAAATATGCATTTCCAAAATCAATAAGACCAATTGGTTTATTAAAAAAAAAAAACAAACTCTTAGGACTAATCGGATTGTCATTCCTTAAGATGGGATTTATAAATAAATTTTTCAAAACTAAGTACCAAAAGAAACAAATATATATATATATATATATATGAATGAATAAGATATAAAATAAATAAATAAATAAAAATTGAACATAACTCTACAACAAATAAGAGTTTTCAAAATTAAACATTTTGTTTCTAAAAGTAAATTTTGATGTAAAAATGTATTAGGAGACCATTTCTTGTCATCTGGAAAGGTCATCCCAAAAAGTCTAAAAGAACAAAAAAATTAACGACAAAATTTTAAAAATTTTGCTAGTAAATGTACGTTTTCTTGATAACTTGATATCAAGTCTATTAGAATGACTAATCTAAATGACCAATTCCACCTTCCACTAGCGGAAGACCTAATTAAAGTTTAAGTAAGTCCCCGTATGGACTGGCTCCAAAAAAATGCTTACATCTAGGAGGTTTTAAATCTAAAACATTGGAGGAACACATCCTCGGACTCTAGTCCTTCATCACCAGACCAATCCCTTTAAGAGAAAAATAATTTCGCAAAAATATTTTTCAGTTTTAGAAAAGAAAAAAAAAATTAATCTCAAAAGAATAATAATCTCAAAAAAAATATTACTAAATATTCAATTTTATTATTAAAAATATAATAATTACACTTTTAATAATTGAGATATTTCGTCCCTACATTTTTGTAACCAAGAATTTAATTTGTTGGTCAGACTCACTTTTAAAAAAATCATGTTCCTGAATTTTTATATGCTTTCATGTGGAATCGTGGTTTTGTAGGACAATGGGGATTGGAAGAGAAGAAGGGTTGTGTTTTCATGGTTGTGGGGTGGGGAAGAAATAGGTGAGAGCGACAAGAGAGAAAAAGCGAGCAGCAAGCCCAACAAAAAATTAAGATTTTAGACATTAAAATTTAGAAATAAAATTATTTTTTAAGATTTAAATATTTTTATTGCGAAAAGTGTCATTATTATATTTTTAGCAATGAAAATTAGATATTAGTGATAAATTATTATCCTTTAAGAACTAATTTTTTTGTCTAAAAAATTAAACTATTTTGAGACCAAATTATTGTCCCTAAAAGTTTATTTATTAGTGACATTTTTAAAATTTTGTCTCTAAAAGCCTTTTTTTTGAATTTTCAAGACGGCTTTTTAGCGATTATCCTCACGATGATAAAAATTTATCCCTAAATGTCTTTTATAACAAATTTTTTCTTTTTAGAGATCAAAATATTTAATTTCTAATACTCTTATATGGTGCAAGGAAGGTGGGAGAAAGTGGTTGAAGTTTGTTTTTTTGTCAAAATATTGTGTTCCCTTTATCAATTATTGTTAGTTTTAATTCCATGGGTTGGTGTGTTTTCATGGTTGTGGTGTAGATTTAAATAACAAAATAATGTCGTTTAACTTTCTTTCTTTCTTTTTTGCGACGGGAGTTGCCGCCGTCAAAAAAAAATATTTTTTGTTAAAATATATATTTTTTTGTAATTAATGATTTTTTTTTTTTTTTTTTTTTTGGGTCAAAAAATTGTGTCCCCTTATCAATTATTGTTAGGTTTAATTAATTTTTACTCTTCAAAGTATAAGATTTGTGTTATTTGATTTTTAATATTTAAATTATGTTAAATTTGTCTTTAATGTATAAAAGTGTTTTAATTTGATTCTCAATGTATAAAAAAAAAAAAAAATTAATTTAATCATTCAATGTTTAAAACGTATCTATTAACAAAGTTAGATTGAAGAATTGAATGACTAAATTGAAACACTTGATGATTGACACAAATTAAATATTAGAGACTAAATTAAATAATTTTATATAATGAGAAACTAAATTGATACAATTTAAATATCAATGATCAAACACATAATTAAAAATGGAAAACCTTCATTCTTATTTGATACAAAAATGAAGATTTAATGGGCAGAATGAAACTTTATGGACCATTAGAATAAATTATCCAACATATTATAATAGAGTAGAGTCGTGCCGAGTTATGTATTCTATATTTCCTATGTTTGTTGTGAATGGCAATATAAATGAATAAAAAATGATGAAACTACTTATTAGTGGTGAGTTCGAAACTTAATTACAAAATCATGAAAAAAATTTATAATTCTGCATATTAATGTTTATAATGAATGCTATAGATATGAATTGTTTTTGTGAGTACACACTGATATGATATTTTTCCCATATTAAAAAAAAAAAAAAAAGATTCTCCAACTGGGACTACAAAAAAAAAAAAAAAAAAAAAAAAATTCACTATGTTTGGTTTGAGTTTTCTAGATTAAGTTTTTTGAAAACTGAATTTTTTGATTTTCTTGTTTTCTTGTTTTCTTGTTTTTCGTAAATATTTTTAAAATTTTAAACATTTTTTTTACTTTTTTAGATGCACCTTACTTAGATGTGTCTAAAAAGTAAAAAAATTGTGAAAAAATATTTTTAAAAATTAAGAAATACATAAAAATACAAAAAATGTACTAAATTTTTGTATTTTTTTTTGTATTTTTGGTATTTAGTGAATTTTTAAAAGATTTTTTTTATAATTTTTTTACTTTTTAGGTGTATTTATGTTAGGTGTGTCTAAAAAGTAAAAAATTTGCATAAAATATTTTAAAAAATTAGTAAAAACAAAAAAACATGAAAAATAAGAGTGTAAAATTTTTTGAAAACTGTTTTTAAAAAATTGAACCAAGCAAAGTGACCACACTTGATACTAACCTGCTTGAGAAAGCACCCAATTGTCATCATATGGGACTTGCCACACAAAATAACCCAGCAAATTCTTCTTCTTAGCATAGGCAACCTTAATCTTCACAACCTCAACATCATCAAACCCGATCCAACTCGATCCAATTGTGCAGTAATTCACTACATAAGTTGCATTGTACTGCGAAACACCTCTCTACATATGGAGAGTACTGAACAGCCTCTGTTAAGATAAGCTGAGTCGACCCATTTGAGTTTCTTGACTCGGATTCAATTGCGACACGCCATTCGTCGAATAGGATTGCCATGTTGGCCATTTCAGAGTCTGTACTGACTGAAACCCAACAAAAGTCTATGCCATGAAACCCATATGATCTTGCTGTTTTTATTGAGGAGTCAATGAAAGATTTCCTGTAAGAAGAATGGCTGATCATTGAGGAGTAATCTGAACCGTTGGCTGATCCTCCGCCGATCGATAACAGGGTTTTGATTGATGGGTTTTTTTGTTTGACAGTATTGGTGAAGTTGGAGAAGAGCTGGTTGTCTGATGAAGAGATTGAAAGTTGGTATGTGGAAGAGTTGAGGTTTGCAAAAGCACAAATGAGGTGAGTGAAGAGAGCTGAGTTTATGTCGGAGATGGGGAATTCGCTGCCGGAGAACCAGTAACCGGCTTGGATCCACGGTTGTTGTTGTGCAATTGAAGATGGAAGTTTAGAACGGATGAGGATGAAGAAGAGGAGGGTGGTCGTGATAATAGTCAACGCCATTGAAAATATGGTAGCTAGCAGATATTTTACAGAGCAGGTAGATAAATATATGTGAATCTAATCAGTAAAATATAGTAGAGTACTAGATAGCTTTTGGTTTTTATTTTTGTTTTACTCTTAAGAAATGTGAAAGGAATAAAAGGTTTCAAATACAGAATGGACTTCCGTAAAATAGAATAATGCTTGGGACCCCTTTTTGGGGTCACCTCCTCACCCCCTTTGCCACGCGGCGGGGGGTGATTGGAGGAGCAGGAAAAAAAAGAAAAAGAAAAAGAAAAAGAAAAGGTAGCCAATGAGAGAGAGAGGGTGTCAAAGGGGGTGGGGGAAAAGGGGGATGAATCATTGTTGCGTAAAATAAGGGTGATGCTTTTTTCATATTTGCTATCTCAATTAAAAGAAGTGTTTGGGTTTGGAACTAATGCCAAGTTTGACAAGTTGAAAAAAAGTTAAAAAGTCAAAAAGTTATTCAAAAAGTTAAAAAGCTATTACTATTCATCAAAAGTCAAAAATTATGGTTGCACAACTCTCAATCTTAATTTTTCCCTGGGGGATATCCTACACACTAATTTATACAATTTTTTAATACATATTTTTTCATAAAAAGTCAAAAAGTTAACCCAAACATCCATATTCTTTTCCTCAATTTTTTAGTCCAAAAAGACAAAAAGTACACTTATTTAGGACAACCCAAACAATCCCTAACTTTGGGGATTTAAATTATTATTTTTTAGAACTCGCTGAATAGAGTGTCCATAAAAAAAATAAAAATAAATAAATAATCGAATATCAATAATTATATATTTTAATCAAATTTAAATTATAAAATATGAATAATTATTCTTAAAATTATATTTGTCATCTATTTTTTTAAATAAATATAATTCAAATATATAGTTGTTGATATTCAATTATCTTATTTTTTTACATAAATATTCTTCTTAACAAGTTTTTAAAAATGAATTATTTAGATAATCGAAATCAGTTTCAAAATGGTCTGTTAAGCCCAAACGCTCTCCTAAATTGTCATCCATAAAAAAAAAAAATTAAATAAATAAATAAAAAGAAGATGCAAAAAATATTTACATTTGTAATTGCGAACATATATGTTACATCTGTGCAATCCATATTTAAAATTTTCTATGGTCATAGATTTTTCAAATACAAATATCGAGACTCCTATCTAAAATAGTATTATTATTTGGGTTAATTACAGTATTGTTTCTTAAACTATTGGTGTCGTTTTCCTAATATTTTATTTATTTATTTATTTATTTTAAGTATTAAATGTGTATTTAAATGATCCACGGATATTTTGAGAAAAAAAAATTATACTCATAAAAGGGTAAATTATACTTATAGACTCCGTTTGTTTTCAGATGTAGAATAGAGAAGATTGATAGTGAGGAGATTGTTAATGAAGGGATTAATAGTGAAGGAATTAAATAAAATTGTGTTTGTTTTGATGATAGTTGTTAGTGTAGAGATTGTTAAATTATTTTTATACAAAATAAATATAAAATAATAAAACAAATAAAAAAATACAAAAAGATTAAACTTTAATGTTTTAAAAAAAAATGTCCAACATGTAAAAAAAATTTAAAAAATAAAAATAAAAATAAAATTCTAGAAAAAAATAAAACAAATAAAATAATAATTTTTACTTAACAAAAAATATAAAAAATTAAATGTTAATGTTCAAAAATAAATGTCCGACATGTAAAAAATAAAATAAAAAATAAATAAAAATAAAAAATTTCTAGTCCGCCGGACTATTTTTCTAATACCAAGTCCTGGAGGCCCATCTGAATCCTCTTAGGGAGGCCCATCCTAATCTGAAGCTCACTATCAATCATCTCCCCATTTCTCAAAACAAACATAATATTAGTAGATCTCACATCACTACTAATCTCAATCCCCCCGCTAACTCTCTAAACAAACAAGGCTATAGTCTTCATAATTTTTCTCATGTTAATTTGATCCTTATAATTTCAATTATGTTGAATTTGTCTTTTTATTTAACATGAAAAATTGATGATAAATCCAAGTTGAATGGTGCGTTAGGTATTAGGTTCAAGCTTTCGATTTTGTTGGTTATAAGGACAGAGGCACGCCACTTCTCAGTTGGTAAAGTCCAAACATGTGGTGACGAGGACAATTATTGACATTTTTGCCCTTTATGTGTATTTTGTACTAATTTTTTTTTAAATTGAAAGATTTGAGTTCTACAAATCTATTTTTAACAAAATTGATATGTGTGGATTTATTCTTTTGAGATCTTTCAAACAAAATTAATATGGAGTATGAATTTTTTTTTTAAAAAAAAAAATTATCAATATATTGATTTTTTGATAAATGAAAAAAGTGAAACAATATTTTTTCAAACTTGAAACCACCTTTGGCAGTTTTAGACAGATAGATAGATAGATCTCGAAAAAAATTATGGAATAAAAAAAAGTCCAAAATGGATTTTGGATGGGTAGATGTTGCAACTTTATACACTATAGTATGTTTTGAATGATTTTTTTTTTTTTTGATTGATCGAAAAATTATTTTATTCACCTTTTTTCTTAAAAACAAAAATTGAATTTGAAAGATCTCAAAAAAATAAATCTACTGTAGGAATATCTATGCACAGTGGATTAACGGATTCAATCCATACCTGAATATCTTGAATCCAAATAATGAACCTGATGAGTGAATCAGGTTCCTTCCAAATTACCAGTCAAAATCCCAGCACTAAAGTGACAATACAATGCGAACAGTATCCGCACAACTAATAGTAGAAAGGCTTTTGTTTAGTTCTTCAATGGCAGAGAGATTGAAAGCACTAAGATATTTTACCCACACAATATTACGTTTTGCTTCCCCTTTTCCACTCCTATGATAATACGTATATTGATCTGATCAATACATAGAAAGATAATCGAGTTGTATTTCACCCTCTTTGAACTTTCGATTTGTTTATCGAGTTGTACTCACGCTTATTTGGTCCTATTATGCCTTTGTACATTTTCTTATCAAGTTGTAAGTCGGTTCACTACCTGATTATTACGATGCAAATTTCCAAAGTAAAATTCGTTCACATTGTGGTGTGATACCTTGCGATGCGACGCACAGAAAGTCCACAAATGCAACATCTTTTGAACAAAATGGATTTTTTCATTCCCATCACGTGTTTTGCAAAATGTGTAACTTTGAAAAAGAATAAAACCTGCCCGAGGCAGTGCAATGTGCTTAAATTACTAGTAAAAAGGAAAGTAAAGCATAGAGTGACAAGGAAGCAAAGTATCAGAATTGATGCCAGTGAAACTCCCCTTGCGGTCAACGCACCTTCCGTACCTTTGTTCGGGTCAACAACGCGTTTGCGCACCTTCGTTACTTTAAACCATGTGAGGACACGCACTTTTGAAATGTGAACCTCCGAGTTGACCTCAGGCCACAACTTCTACGAACAATGCTCGATGCGCGCGAAGAATGTCCCGCCCTGTATCCTTTTCATGCCTTGTGAATTCCTCAAATTGTTTCAATCATGTTGTGTAACAATACCTTTCATTACTTGCGTAGACCGCATGTTTATTAATTTCATTACCTGCGTAGACCGCATGTTTTGATTGCGTAGACCGCATCCTTATTAACCTTTATTACCTGCGTAGACCGCATGTTTTGATTGCGTAGACCGCATATTAATTTCATTACCTGCGTAGACCGCATGTTTTGATTGCGTAGACCGCATCCTTATTTTAATTTCATTACCTGCGTAGACCGCATGCTTTGATTGTGTAGACCGCATCTTAATTTCTTTACCTGCGTAGACCGTATGCTTTGATTGCGTAGACCGCATCTTAATTTCATTACCTGTGTAGACCGCATGTTTTGATTGCGTAGACCACATTCTCGTTAATCTCATTACCTGCGTAAGACCGCATGCTTTGATTGCGTAGACCGCATCTTAATTTCATTACCTGCGTAGACCGCATGTTTTGATTGCGTAGACCGCATATTTATTAACTTCATTACCTGCGTAGACCGCATGTTTTGATTGCGTAGACCGCATGATTATTTTAATTTCATTACCTACGTAGACCGCATGTTTTGATTGCGTAGACTGCATTCTCGTTAATCTCATTACCTGCGTAGACCGTATGCTTTGATTGTGTAGACCGCATCTTAATTTCATTACCTGTGTAGACCGCATGTTTTGATTGCGTAGACCGCATTCTCGTTAATCTCATTACCTGCGTAAGACCGCATGCTTTGATTGCGTAGACCGCATCTTAATTTCATTACCTGCGTAGACCGCATGTGCCACCATAGGCGTCCAAATCTGGGTCCAAAACCCAACTTGTTTACCAACGTCCCCCACTCGCACATGGATTGACATAATGCTACTGTATCTCTATCTCAATCTACCCAAACTTAGATCAAACTCAT